TCAGCTATCCCAAAGCCCCTGCTCTTTCTGTTATGCAAGACTGACTCTTATAGCAAAGAAGGGCATAACAGGAAACACTGAGATCTGTTTCTACTAAGCAGGGCAACTCTCTAGGTGGGAAAGTTATTTAATCTCATGAGAACCCAGAGTCCCCTGAATCCTGACTATATAATTTCAAATATCAGCAAAAACCTTAATGATAGGGTAATCTTTTATCAAATTTCTATCTTTTGCTATCTGCAGGCAAGTTTTAGAGTTAAGTTCTATAATATATCAACAAGTAAGCCCAAATTTAGAAAGCCTTAATGTTTTTCTATTTACAGTAATAAACATAATAATATCAACTCAACAGTGAACAGTTCCTATGCGAAAGTAGAGTCAAAGTTGGCAAACCTACTCATCAACTGACTTTTGCAGCAAAGGCAATGCCAATGGATATTAACATGTTTCAGCAGCAGCAGCAGCAGTGGCAAAAGCTTGAAAATATATTATCAAGAATGCCGCAGCAACAGTTGGAAGCAATACCAGTCTGAGAAATCAAGTGAGAGAAATGGCCCCAGTTAAACAGAATGGCCTGTCAGCTGGGATCTTATTCACACTGGCCAACACACATTTCACACATACTGCATTTTCCTAGGTATTAATCGTTGGCCAGGGCCCATCAAGAGTATTTGTTCCCCAAACATGGCCTGAGTGCTCCTGAGAATCCCCAAGACTCTTTTAGAAGGTCTGCAAGGTCAAAACTACTTTCATAACATTACTGTTACATTATTTGTCTGTTTCACCATGTTGACATTTACACTAATAGTATAAAAGTAATGGTGAGTAAAACTAGTAACTGTTAGTGACCTCAATTTGTAATAACTAGTCACTGTAGTCTTCACAGCCACAAACTCACAGTAGAAATAAACGCAAATTTCACTTGAGTATATCCATGATAAAGTAAAACATAGTAATTTTATTAAGTTATAACCTTTGTGTATCATCTGTTTGATATTTGGAAATCAATTTTTGATTTTTGGAAAGTACTTGTAGCGCATACTGACGTATGAAAATTGTCTCAAGGAAAAGTACTTAAGTAATTGAGTTGTGAGATGACCTGGCAGTTTTTTTCATGAACCATCCTTTTTATATGAAACAAAATGACTGACAAATTATGGCTATTAAACATTTTGTGAATGCTTGTTCTTTGAAAATAAAAGAATTAAGCCTGTCATTTTAAAAAAATAAAGAAAAAAGGAAATGATAGGAATTTTTATTAAATATAGGAATTACAGCAGTCAAGCAAAATTTAGAATGCTACCAATTGCTTGAAGGCTTCTGAATTTTTAGGTGATTTAATGAGATCAGCAATGATATTAATATATCATCCTGTAAAGTAAAAAGTAAAAGATCTGCATAACTTAGTGAGTCAATATTTTCCAATTTATCTGTAACATGATGATGTTACAGAATAATGCATGGGTAAAAGATCTTTCTTAGTGCAACACAGACCAACTGATTTTACTGTAACAGAATAGGCAAAGCTCGCTGAGATAATTTTAGGTTCCACACAACAATAAGCCTTTAAAAACATCAGCCTTTTTTGAGGTTTAGTGCAGTAATAATATCCAAGGTAATATCATCCACTGTAATAACATCCAAAATTATTTGACAACTATTAAAATACCTTCCCTTTCTAACTACTTATCCGTGAGGCCAGATTTTCTTCAAATTATGCAATCAAAAGAACATATTGCAGCAGGATGAATGAAGAAACAGATATGAGAATCCAGCTGTCTCCTCTTAAACCAGACAGACTTTCAGAAATGTAAAACAACTTCTCCTTTCACACTAAATGATTCCTATTTTGGCAAATGCACATATTTTCTATAAAAATACGTATGCTAACATATCATGGGTATGATATTGCTATTTTTAGTAAATTAACAAGTAAATATTTTTACATTTTCTAATATGGTAAATAGCTTTAATTTCTAATATGGCAAATAGTTATAACCCACATAAACAAAAGCTTTCCAAAGTCCTCAACTATTTTTAAGAATGATGGAATGATAAGGCCACAACATGAGCGTCACTGATCCAAAGAACACTGCTCCACAGAGGCTGCATCAGCTGTCCTCTCCTGACTGTCCCTACCCCGCCCTCACTCATGGTCCTCACCACTTCATTGTGTCCTCACTAAATAATGTATAACTAAATACTTCCTGAAGAATAGGTCATGACCATCACCTTTATCATGCGATAGCACACTCATAAATTGCTACACCTAGCACTGAGAAACAGCTATATAAAACCAGGTGACTTCATAAGGAAAATTAATACAGGGAGAAGAAAACACTGAATTTACAGAATCAAAATATTCGGAGCTCTGCTCTCATACCAGTGAAATAACTGCATAAAACCATGTAATTACTGAACCAGGCTGTAGCTTGGGAGGGCAAATGGATACTTATCATTTGAGGAACAGGACAAAGCAAATAAAAGAGAAGCAAAAGCATCATTTGTCCATGCAGGAAAACAAATTTGTGCCAGGCTGTTACGGAGGCCCAGATGCCAGACACCAACCACTAACAGCACAACCCCATCCACACTACTAGGCAGTGGGTCACTGAGGGCACAGGCTTGACATCAAAAGAACCTAAAGAAGAAGTGTAAAATGAGAAAAAATGCAAAAGTATAGTAATTATTTTAAATAGAAAAATCTAGTTATAAGTAAATAGCTAAACAATTAGAATTATACAATTTTTGTGCAAATACATACAGCACTTTCTCTCTCTATATATATATATATATACACACACATACGTATATATATGCACACACACACACATATATTTATATATAATTTCTTTACCTATCAATCAAATTGTATGCGTTAGTTCATTGTGCCTTAGCATTGCTGTCTGAATTTAGATGACCAGTTCTCTTGATCAGAAGTCACATTTAATAAACCAGAATCTGTACAACATTTGGCCCAGACTCATGTGCACAATAAATAACCAAATGACACATAAAATGATGTGGAGTTTAGAATACAATTTAAATTATATATAATACAGAACATAAGACAACAAAAAGCATGATGTATATTTAACAGTTTTATCGGGGAGTATTTTTGGAACTATAAAAATCCTATCATTGTCATTTTGTGAATGATAATAATAATTAAAATTTTATGAACAATTACTAGTTTAAGGGCTTTATTCTTTTTCACTGCCTAGCTGTACTATGAGTAAAATAAAATGTAGGCATTCAATATCCTCAAGGATGAAATTATTTTGAATAATCAAGGGTTCTACTTTATTGGGTTCATATTTTCTGTGCTGGTACCTATGTTTTAATGCATTCTAAACAGTGTAAGTCCCTGCCTTTTAAAAATACACTATACCAAATATAACACAATTACATCATGTATTGGGGCATTCCTATAAATGTACTATTCTGATATGTATATATAATACACATATCCTATTCCCTACTTGCCCTCCTCTCATATACAAATTATATGTACATGCCCTCTAATATAGCATGAAATCTGCTAAGCAAACTAAGCCTGACACAAAGATATCTTCTAAGAATCACCGATATCAGAGTAAAGGGCTGTTGACTTCACCCTTGCCCTTACCCCATCCTAACTCCACACAGCCACAAATACACATAAAACAGGGCTGCCCAGTGACATCAAGGATTATACCACTAGATTGCAGGGCTGCCCAGGAACTTTAGAACTCTCTGTTCCCTCTTCATTAGCTCCTTACTTCTGTGTTATCAGTTACTGGTGCCAGCGGCCATTAGCACAATTTTAACTACACCTGCCCTCAACGTGGCTCTCTGCTGCTCATTCCTATGTGCTGCTCTCTACTTTTCACTTTGCTGCTCTCTGCTTCTGCAACACTGGATTCAGAAAGCCTCACTTTCTCTAGATGACTTCTAATTAAGAAAAACCTTCCTTTTCTTCTTTAGAGCACCCATTATTCCACAGTTATCTGTTCTTGGTTATGTGTTTCATTTAAAAGTATTTAAGTACCTATTCTAAGATAAAAATACTAAGCTGGCCATGTCTTTTAACTTTAGTCAGAAAGTTAAAAATTATGCTCCAAGGTTATCCTTTCATCCACTAATACCTAACATTCACTGTATTGATTCTTTGGCCTACTTTAACATTTCTCCATTGACAATGCAGTTATTAGGCTAGACATTGAGCTAGGTACTGAGGATTCAAAGGTAAAGAAAGCCAAATACTATGGCCCTTGAAGATGACGCTTCAGCGGTATAATCCAGTCACCTAGTTCTTCATGTAATTAGAGTCTAGCTACTGGAAAAAGTTTCCAGACTAATGTAAAATCATCTGGTTATCAAAACTAATTGTATTCTTTGAAGGCTTTTTCAAGGGCTTATCTACGTGATAGGTAAAATCCAGTCAAGGCTCTTTCAAGAATATTTAGTTGTTCATTCACCCTTCACTAGGACACGGCTTTCTTTTATTGGAGAAATTACACAGGAAGTGGTAAGAAAAGAAGGGGGCCCTTTAGGAAGCAATCCGTGACATAACAGATATTACATTCACATCACCTACCCTGGTACCCAATAAAATCCTACAGCATTCAAGCAACATTCTGAGGTAAAAAGGCCACATTTGACATGAGTTACAGGAAGGATTATAAATCAAGTCGATGCCCTTAACTATCTATAAAAAGTGAAGCTGTTACTCTAATTCCATCCATTAGAATTGTATAGAAGTTAATCACAGTTATATCACAATCAAACCTTAAAAATGTTATTTCTACTTTACATGTTTTACTTAGTTTGAGAAAATATACTTATTATAAATTCTTCTAGATGAAAAAACTGGATTTTACAATGCTTTAAGAGAGAGAAAACAGCCAAGATTAATACTTAATATGGAAGATATGTGTACTATTACAACATTTCCTGTCTTGGAAGCATGTGATTTCTCTAAGTGGTTTTTATCACTAGTCTAATTACAGTCTCCATACCTGTGTGGCTCCGGATATGAACTCTGAGTGTACCACTGCTGGCAAATTTCTGGCCACAGTATGGGCAGATTTTCTCCTTTTCTCCTGTATGTGTCTAAATGGAAAGGGATAAAATGACTAAGAATAAATACAAAGAGTTAGGTAAAGATGATTAAATGCCTCTGACAATCGTAAATCCTTATTTTCTAGGATTACATTTCATTAAAATGATTTAATTTCACAATGAGATTTTAAACAATTTATGATGGATAGTCCTATTGGCTCAAAAAATGCCTTAGAATCATGTATTAGTGTTAATTTCAAAATAGTTCTGCAGTTTACTTTTTTAAGCCCTCAAAGAGCTCCCAACTGAAAATGATTAAATTACATAAAACCGGTATATTCTCGTAAAACCACATAATCAAAATAGGGGTACAGCTCCCTTCCTGGCTGCCAAGAAACACTTACTTTGAAGCATTTTTCACATTCTTTGTGTATATTTAACACTTGAGGACAGAATTAATCTCAATAAAGTCATCTGTTACTAGTGTTATGCAGTTTGACTAGACTGGTTTTACTGCAAAGCAAAAAGGAATATTCATCTGATTTGACCTTTAAAATCAGCAGGTGTTAACTGAGTGGTCAATTTGAAAGCATATTTCTGTCCTCAAGATGCCTTTAATCTAGGCACAATCACATGAGGAAAGGTGAGTAAGTATAGTCAAAAGTAAGTTACAATAAAAGCTGGAGAGCTCAAAGAGAAAGAGTGATCTCTCCCCAAAAGAGGAGGAAGATGGAGCATTTTAAACTGGCCTCACAGCCTCATCAGAAGACCAGTTTTTCTCCCAACATCAAAACAGATCATTCCAATAAATGAAGGGTCAGAGCTATTTCTCAAGTCCCAGTGCTTCTCAAACTTAGAAGATTGGGGAAAAAGGCAGGTGAAAGCAATCCCTTCAGGCATGTAGGTATTCTAAGACGACTTTTAGAATTCTTGTTCTGAAATTCTTGCTCTTAGTAGTGTAAAAGCAAATTACTGACAAGTAGTATTTGAACTGCCATAGACTAATGAAAAAAGAATTAAAAAAGGTTTTTTAAATGACATTTCTCAGAAGAGAACACTGGCTGTAATAGAAAAAAGGAGTGGGACAATTACCTCATCACCTGAAAACATCAAAGAACCATCACCATAGCAAAATATGTCTATCTTCCATATTAAATAGCTAACATTAATGTAATAGACTTTGCGGCCTTATTAATATTTAATTTACAAATTTGCAATTTGTATTAAAATGTATATTTGGATATGCACTATCAGATTTGTAATTTTTTAAAGAGCTACAAACTAAATATCTTAGTCAATTTCAGGGTCTTTTGAATTTTTTTCCTTGAAACAATTTATGTTAGACTCAAGTTTGAAAAACACAGTCAAATCAACTACCATGCTAGCCAAGGACACTGTGTACAACAAGCATCTCCTGGATTTTGTATTTGGCAACCACTTAACTTTCCATTTTTACTACAAGATCTTATACAAAAGAGTTATATATCTCTACACTTCAGTAAAAGCTTTTACTCCCCTGGTCCACATTATAGTTCAATTTAAAGTAAAATATATAACATTTTAACATATAACAGATCTCTCTGCCTTTCATTCCCTGACAGAAGGTACAAAATATAGTAATTTTTTCTTCATTGGTGTACGGCTGTTTAGAAATTGTACATATATATCTATTGTTACAACACTGAATTATTCCAAACATGTAATTACTAATTTATTTGTAATATATTTATAAAATCACAGCATTTCTTTTGCTGCTATGTGTTTCACTGTTCATTTACATAACTGTCATTGATTCCAAACTGAAGAAGTTCCAAACTAAAGGATATTAGGGTTATATTAATGAAAAAAAATTAAAATATTCCTTTCATTTAACTCAAAAATATATCATATTATTAGGTTCTGATTTTGGTTAGATAGTTTCAAAAGAAATTAAAGTTATAATACTAAGCCACCTTAAATATGGATAAGAAAGCATGGAAACAGCTCACTTTAAGAACAATACTGGATAAATGTATGAGATTAAAATGAGCAATACATTACAAAATATACTGTGTGACTATTATTGCAGACAAACGAAGAAATCTCTCTTGAAAGCTCACTATACTTTTCCTTCATTTATTGAAAGATAACAAAAAATTGTGTTAAATTCATGCAAAAAAGTAATTCAAGCAAAGAAAGTTGAAAGACTATATTTTATTCAGAGATCTAAAAACAGATAATATCATTATTACTCAGCAATAAAAATATAGGAACCCATATACCCTATGTGTGATTGTTATATATTGAATATCTGTATCAAAATATAATATCACAGGCCAGCCATGGTGGCTCATGCCTATAATTCAAGCACTTTGGAAGGCTAAGGTGGGCAGATTTCTTATGGTCAGAAGTTCGAGACCAGCCTGGTCAGGATGGTGAAACCCTATCTCTACTAAAAATACAAAAAATTAGCCAAGCGTGGTGGCAGGCACCTATAATCCCAGCTACTTGGGAGGTCGAGGCTTGAGAATCACCTGAAGCCAGGAGGCAGGGGTTGCAGACAGCCAAGATGGCACTACTCCACTCCAGCTTGGGTGACAGAGTGAGACTCTGTCTCAAAAAAACAAACAGACTATATATACATACATATCTCATGTATATAACTACATACACCTACTATGTACCCATAAAAATTAAAAAGAAACAGGAAAAGAAAGTTACTGAATTCAAGCCTTTTGAAACAGTTGTATTAAGGATAAATATGAAAATTAAATTCATATTGAAGCAGAAGTTATTTCTTCACATTCATTCAGTAGCATATACTAATGGCAAAAAACTACCATACTTCACCGTTACTTCTAAGGCTAATGCTGCCTGAGTGCAGTGGCTCATGCCTGTAATTCTAGCATTTTCAGAGGCTGAGGTAGGAGAACAGCTCGAGCCCAGGAGTTCAAGATCATCCTGGGCAACATAGCAAGACTGTGTCTCTACAAAAATTTTAAAACATTAGCTGGGCATGGTGAGACATGACTGTAGTTTCAGCTATTCAGGAGGTTAATACAGGAGGCTCACTTGAGCCCAGAAATTCAAGGTTACACTAAGCTATGATGACGCCACTGCACTACAGCCTGGGCAATAGAGCGAGACTCTGTCTCCAAAATAAGAAAAAAAGAGTCAACATTAAAACCTTTAGGTGTACTTGTTATAACACAAATTTTACTTATACACCTAAAAATACATTATTGAACAAGTAAACAACTTGATTTCTTTGAGGTAATTAGGCAAGTAGCTTAACACAAGAAAATATAATCTCCAAATGACTAAACATTTTGAGTTAATCAAATATTTATTGAGTCCCCATTCAATACCCAGAAACTTCCCTATGCTCTAAGAGAGGTAAAGATCAATGACCATTCCAACCCCAAAAGGGCTCAGTCAATTAAATTGCCAATAAACATAAGAATTTGCTTTGAAAAATAAAATTATTAAGGTACTACTCATATTTCTTTGAAAGAAATAACTTATATTAATCCAAAAATATATAAAAATTGATAAGCTCTTGCTCATTGAGTACTTCCTAGAAGCCACCTATCAGCAAAGCTATGGGTTATGAAGAGTCTACATCTAACTCAGGTTCTCATTCATGGAAAAAATATAGGTCTATCCTGAAAGATAAAGAAAGTGAACATTTCCTAAAGAGCTGATATAAATCATGCATTTGTCCTTCTGAGTAAATACTCTGATAGATTAATTTATAATTATCACATGATAGTTAACATATATGCCCAATATTGCTTAAATATACAATCCATTCAAACTAACAGAAGACTTCCACTTACTTTCTTATGACTTCTAAGCACTGAAGGTGTAACAAAGGCCTTATTACATAGCTCACACCTATACTTCTTGTGTCTTTCATGAACCACCTGGACATGAACATTTAATGTATCCTTCCTCTTAAAGGTAGCATCGCAGTGGTGGCACTTGAAAGTCCTCTCACCTTAGAAACAAAGAAAAACATTTCAGAAGCAATAGGAGGGCCTATTAATTTCCTCCCATATATGCCAGACTTAGTTGCTTTTATCAAAATGTTGGCTTTACAGCTCTAATAATTTAACATATTATTTTTAACAACAAATTCCAGTTCCATTATTTGCTAATTCAGGCCAAAGTCCTTTCATCTTACATCTTCCATTATCTCAACTGGAAAATGTGGGGACTGAATTAGCAAATTGTCCAAAGTTACTATGAACATTTTTTAAAAGTATGTGCTTCTACAGCAGGGGCTGGGATTTGAGGTAAATAGACTCCAGTGACACAAGGTGAGTAGCCTTTGGGCCCCTCCCAAAGTCCCCTGAAATCCCACCACTGTTCCTATGATCTCCTGTAAATAGATAATAGGCAGAACTGGATTGTAGGTAGAGAGTTGAGGAAGAATGCCTCTGAGGGCAGGAGAGCGTGCATCAGAGCTCAGGGCCTCCCATTCTGGAAGAAGGAAAGGGTTGCAATGCCCCTGCTTCCTCAGCACTGACTCAGGAACCTGGACTGGGGGCTCCCTGACTCAGCCCTTGGGCAGTTCTAAAAAGTCTCTAAGGCTTTGAGGGATGGGGGTCTTTCAGAGAGGCAGTTAAATTGGGATGGGGGATGAAGACTAGCAGCCACCGTGGCTATTTCACTTTCTTCTCATTATCCAGCCTGGGCCTGGGGGGAAAACAACCTCAGAAGCTATATATAGAAATCTTATAGTACTTTCTAACTTTCATATAACGCGGTTTTTATAGTTCTTCTTAACACATAGGCCTAAGTTTGAGTGGCCATTTTAAATACAATTTCAACAATATATGTGCACAATTCGAACACAGTGTTTTATAAGTGTAAAACGCATGTAGTATGTGACTATATAAATAAGACAGAATAGTATTTGAATATAATTTCTTTTTTTAGAAAACAATCATATTAGCATGGATTTCCATATCCTACAGATTACAAGGCAAAATTAAGAATACATTTCTATATTTAAATAAGAGATTATCTCAATTTTAGCAAGCTCTTCTAAATTCCTTCCATCATAGCTAGCACTGAATTGAGAAGACCCTATTATTTCTTCACATGAAAGGAAGGAAGAAAGGAAGGGAGGGAGGGACAAAAAGAAAAAAGGAAAAGAAAATTACCTTCTCTTTGTCTTTCTAAATAGAATTACAGCTCTCTAACTTAAAGTCTCTTAGATTCCTGTTGGCATTTAATGTCTGAAACAAAGTCACATTCATACAACACAAGAACTAGATAGATTCTGAGAGCTTTGTTTATTTGTGCATTTTTGTTGCAGAGTACTATTCTTGTAAACTGCTTTATATTCTTTATGTTTTATTAAAATATTTTGCTTGTATAAGATGAATAATCAGTGATAGCATAAGGAAATATCAATTGATGTAAGACTGTAAATGTTAATGTTAATACCAAATCTATTCAGGTACTGAAAAAAATTAAAAAAAAAAACAACAAAAAACCCTCCAAGATTGCTCCTGTTAAACTATTAAGTGAATAAAAATGTTGGTCCCTGTACAAAATCTTATCAAGCTATAGCAAGGAAGTCCTTACTTTTCTTCTTTCATACTTTAATTGCAGATTTCTTTGTGTTAAATTTATCAGAATTTTTCCCTATCTTAGTACCTGGAAGCTAGTCAGCAACTTCTCTTCTGGTGTCCAGCGTATTGGGAAATACCAAACATTTCCAAAAGTATTACAAGTTATTCTTCATATTTTGAGCCAGAAAGCTAATATAAGTTTCTAATAACAGCTTTCATATTTTGAAAGTGAAATAAATGGTTCTGAAGTTAAATAAATGAGTTTAATTTTCATATTGTATAAGACAAGACCTAGTATTTTGTCTTCTCTCTGTTAGCCATTTCTGGTTTTCCCATTCTTTTCACTAACTGATGTCTAATTTTGTTTCCCTTAAATAACTCATTTACTCACTCAATTATCAAAGTAGATTTTCTTGGCCAAATGTAATGATGCAGCTTCAAAAAGCCTGTGATTAATGTGCTGATCAACATCATATTAAACACATGCTGCACAGCACAGTCCACACACAGTCACTTTCATTCTATTTCTCAAGTGAATGAGAACCAAAAAACTAAAAGCAAAGATATCACATTACTTCTGTTAAGAATTCATTGATGTTATTAGAAATAAAATTTCATCATTCCCAAGCAATATTTCCCAAGCATCAGGTCAAATTTAGCGATATTTTAATAGCATGAATGAGGTTTACTTGTCTAAATCTCTATTCTAACATTCATTCATCTCATAACAGTTATTTTCCTAAATCAAAATGGTAATCAAATAGGACAGAAATTCCTGCAATTGCACAACAAATTTTATTTTTGAATACATAGCTGTTTTTTTATATAGGAAAAATGGTAAATTGTACTAATAACTTCTTCAGAGCTATCAGCTGAACACAGAATGGCCTGAGAGAATAACACTACCTTTTTTTGCAGGAAGCAGATTGCATTTCGTCAGAATCATTACCACTCAATATTTAAGAAATCTTAGTACCTTTATTATTTTTCATTTTAGACACTTGACAAATGAAAATTTCTCCAAGATGCTGCTCTGTATAACCAACTGTCAAAATTAATTGTTTTTTTCATTCCTCAAGAATATTAAAAGTTTAAGCAGCAGTAGGAACTTCATGTGTATAGAAGACTGTCTAATGATTAAGCTAATTAAAAGTAAGAAGTATAAATATTACCCATGTTACATAATTTTTTCATTAATTTTAGATACAGTAACTGTAGTAAGTCTCTGGCTACTTCAGCATCTAAACAGAGAACCCACTTTAAAACTCAGCTTGGCAATATCATGTTCTTCTCAATAAAATGATATCCTTTAGTAATATAACTGGGCATTCTGTGATGTTGTAAAAAGAGCTCTGAGTGTAGGTGTTAGACTTTCATGGTGTGTATGTATAAAACTTAATCCAAAAGAAAAAAAAAGCCCCTGTAAAAATAAGAAATCTGAGGCAGTAGCAAGCAGGAAAAACACCTCATGGTATGTATGTATAAAAGTTAATCCAAAAGAAAATAGTTGCCCCTGCCAAAGGAAGAAATCTGAGGCAGTGGTAAGTAGGAAAAGCACCTATAAGGGACCTGTTTGCTACTCCTTGCACTGTGAAATCTTGAGTATGTCATGGTACTTCTGAGACTCAATATTTGTATCCCCCCTCAAATTAAGGTGTCAGTCACTCTGATCCTTTTCCACTTGAAAAGTTTGTGAGCTAATAAAACTAGGCCAGATATCTGCATATTTAAAGAGTCAGACATGTTTTCTTAATTATATTTGAAAGGAAACAAAACATGTTTCAAAACAAAACTCAAAGATATCTTTCTCAAAATGGAAAATGCTTTTATATACAAACTTTAAATAGTGGGAAGAAATTATATAAAATGAAATGTCTCATAAAATAATCTTACTGTGGAAAACTAAAGCAAATATAAAGGGAAAAGCAGAATTTTTGGTCTTTCTTACATTTAAAGTGAGATTATATAAATACTTATAGGCACACTTCTGGGATGTCTGCATTCTCAAAGGTTATAATTACAAAGTGTAATTCCTTATGTTCTCAACTGCCTGAATTGCGACTTACTGTTATGTATTAGCAGGTGTCTCTGTAAAGAAAATGGGGTCCGGAACAAAGCTTTACATTCTTCACATTGGAATGGTCTCTCTTCAGAGTGGGTCTGCAGAGGAAAGACACTGAGTCAGGAATCATTACAATGGACTAGTGGAGCTTGGACTCATGATGTGAAAGAGGAAAGAAGGGAAGGTAGACAATATCTGTTTCTTCTAGTGCCATTCTTCCACCAAAAAATTGTAAAGACAAATATGTTGCATTTGCAAGAGAAAAAAATAACTTTCAAATGCTCACATTAATTATTAATTTGATAAATTGTAAAAAAAAAATTATTCCTATTATCTCAAATTGCTAATCTGAATACACACAGAGATTTCTCAGGGCCTACTTTGCAGTGAAATTGTGTCTACTTTCTCTGAAAACTAAGCCTCCTCTGTCACTGGCCAGGCTTTTACTCTGCTGGTACAACATTTGCAATATAGATAAAGGAAATTTCTAAAAGGGAAATTTCACCCTTTTCTCTCAACTTCACTGAATCACTTCAAATAATTTTTAGTCCTAGGTGCTGCTTTTCCCCAAAATTACACTAGAGCACTTATTCATGTTGTAAGTCACCCTAATTAACAACATTCATTAAATACATAATTTGTGTCAAATACTATTCTAAACACTTTACATAAATCATTTCATTTAATTACAACAGTGACTGGATTAATAAAACACTATTACTGACTCCAGTTTACAAATGAGAAAACTAAGGTTCAAAAAGTTGCAGTAACCTGTGAAGGTCAAACAGCATAGATCCCCCAAATGATATTAAGCATCCAGTCACATAAGAAACAAAAACATGCTGACAAACAAGAAATAATGAAAAGCCATTAACTAGATCTAAAATTCGAAACCAAAACCAAAACAATACAGCAAAAGCTGCTCACTCCACCTCTTTTATATTACACATTGGTATAAACCCATTTGGCACAAATCATTAAATGAAATCTTATTCTATGATAGATGTCAGAATAAGTCTCATAAATGCATAAAAAAAAACAAAAATTGAATTATGATCTCATATTACATAAAACAAATCATATAACAGACAGGTTTTTGTAATAAATGTGACATAAAAACAAAAAAGTAACTTAAAGAAAGGTCACTTTATTCGGAGCCTATTAATTTATATATTTCTTAGTTTAGTAGACATAATATTAAAGATACAAGCATAACCTATTAGCATAAGGTTGGTGAGAATGACATTTTCCTGTCTGGTTTTAGTTGTGAAAGATACAGAGAAAGCATGAAAGAACAGGTATTTAAGAGTCAGGATAGGGCTGCGCGTGGTGGCTCATGCATGTAATCCCAGCACTTCGGGAGGTCAAGCCAGGCAGACCACGAGGTCAGGAGATGGAGACAATACTGGCCAACATGGTGGAATTCCATCTCTACTAAAAATAAAAAAAATAGCTGGGTGTGGTGGCACATGCCTGTAATCCCAGATATTTGGGAGGCTGAGGCAGGAGAATCGCTTGAATCAGGGAGTTGGAGGTCGTTGTGAGCCAAGATCACACCACTGCACTCCAGCCTGGTGACAAAGTGAGACTCCGTCTCAAAAAAAAAAAAAAGTCAGGATAAATTACAGATAATCCAATGTGCCATTTAGCCACAGAAATGAAAATGACAGTATGGAAATACGTAGATCAATTATACAGAAAAACAAATAGGTTTCTTGTATTATATAAAATACATACACATTTAGTACAGGAAAAAATATGGTATTTAAAATTGGTAGGAAAAGAGTAGAAAGTTCAGTAAATGGCTTTGAGGCTAATGTCTAGATATTCAGGAAAAGGTAAAGTTGGGTCTACTACTCACCTTACAGTAAGAGAAACTGCAAATCAATTCAGGTATTTTTCTTAAAATGAAGAATAACACTTTAAATACACTAGAAGAAACTCTGCGTAAATTTTTAAATAACTTTTGAGTCTGGAAAGGCTTTCCAAGCAAGGTAGAAAACCATACATTGAGATGAGAGAAATAAATACAGTTAAAGCTGCAAAGCGAAAATCTTTGATGATAAAGCAAATATCTGCAACATAAAACAAAAGTGTAATGTTGCTAAGAATTTATGGCATATTAATAAGAAAAGATGAAAATGGACAAAGGGACTCCCTTCCAAACTGCACTCCTAAAATTTCATTCATCATTTTATTTTGCCCCAGGTCTGTGCTATGTACTTCATGCCTGCACTAGTGAGTCCTATTTTAGATGCTGAGCATACAGCCATGAAACAAAAAGACTGTCCTTGCTATCACAAAGCTTTTACAGTAGCAGAGGGAGAAAGACAATAAACAAATGAAAAAGTATGTACTACATTAGAAAGGGATAAATGTGATGGAGAAAAATAAAGCAAGAATGAAGACAGCAAATATTTCAGAGTATTCGGTAGCTATTTTAAATAGGTAGTCAAGAAAACTCTAGCTGAGAACGTGACATATGAGAGAAGATTTGATGGATGTGAGGGAGCAACGGCAGGTATTTGGGTGATCCAAAGCTAGCGTGATTGGAGCCACATGAAAGAAGCAGAGAATGGGGAGATACAGTCAGAAGAATGGGAGAAGTAGAGGAGGAGAAGCAAATCATGTATGGCCTGGCTGGCCAGTGGAGGAATTCTGTCTTTTATTCTAAGAGAGATGTAATTTTCTGCAGGGTTTTGAGCAGATGATGGGCACAATTCACCTGACATTTAACAGGATGCCTTGATAGGCTGTGTTGACAGCAAAATGCAGGGGACAACAAAAAGCAGAGAAGCAACAGCAGTACAGCAGTAGATAGTCACAGATGTGAAGAGAAGTAGTAGAATTCTAAGTATCTTCTGAAAGTGAACAGGTTTTGAAAAGGGACCTAGATATGAAGCATGAGACACAAAAAGGAGGAGGTAAGCACAACTCCAATATTTTTGATCTGGGCAATGCAATGATGGGTTAGCCATTAACAGATATGCAAAATAGCAGCAAGAAACCAGTTTGAGTAAAGCATCAGGGGTTCAATTTTGGACAAGTTCAAATAAGTATTGTGAGATGTCCAGTATTAGAGGTAGTTGAATATTTCAAGTCTGAATTATAAGGTATAAGATGGATATGTCAGATTACATATGGTATCAATATTTAAAGCCATGAATATGATAAAAGAATAAAAAATTAAAATAAAGATATTATCTGTGTGATTAATCAGATTGCCAAAGATGAAGATGATGGATATCATCCAGTGTTGACTAAAGAGTAAAAACAGGCAATCTTATGTACTGTAATTGAGAATAAAAATTTTCTGGGTAACAACGTAGTTCTATATACCAAAATGATAAATGTGCACATCCCTGACTGACTAATTCCCTTTATAGAAATATATCTGACAAATTTTTACACAAACTACTTATTTCAAATGAAAGGAAAATTCCTAAATGTCCATAAAAACATATAAACCTGGTTAACTAAGTGTAGTGGATATTATACTTACATATTTATTTTCTTAGATATGAAAAGTCATGTATATCATACTTTAGGTATCAAAAGGAGAATTTAAAACATAACATATAGAATACCATTTAAGCCACATACATATACACACATAGAATAGAGCCTAGGAAGACATTCTACAAGACATTGAGGAGGGTTTTTATAGGAAAGAGAGTGTTATTTGACAGAATGTTTGATTTCTTCTTTATACCTTTCTCAGACACTTGGATTTTCTACAATAAATAGCATTATTTGTTTTTAGAGCATCCAGGTAGGAACACAGGATAGCTACCATCTTCTAAAAACATATTCCTCCCTAATTCATTTTTTTCCAAATCTAGGATATAATAACTTGTGAACATGACTTAGTTGCTTGATTATGACAGAACTTGGGACAGCATAATGTCTTTTAACTGTGTTCAACCAAAGCCACAACATCTAGATATTGGCCTAAAGTCAATAATATATTTTTAGTAGTAAGATGTCTGTGCACACCCAGGTGAATAAATTCTTTTGTCAAAAAAGATGCCAGTGCCACCACCTGGGCTGGGATGGCAGAGAATCCATGCATTCAATCAACTGGAAGACGTTGAGAAGCCACCTAATTTAAGTAAGGCATAATAAGATGCTTTCATATTGTGGGTAGAGAACTTCTGTCTCCAACTATAATATAATTTACAAGTGTCAGACAAAGTTAAGCTTTTTCAAAGGTGTTTTACCCTTCAATTTTTCACCTCTAAATAATGCCAAACTTTTCACTGATTTATTGATCAAAAGATCCTTAATAACCCTATTAAGGATGTCCTGTAGGACATCCCTTTTGTATTTCAAGTCGCTGATGACACCAACATCTGCCAGTGTAACGAATGAACTAGTCCATGAAGAAGTACTATGAAATATGTATTTTCATATACCAACTCTTTTGTAGATATAAAAAAATACATAAAATCTGTTGCACTCTTTATAATACCTACTAGAATGTCCCAAAAATGCTTCGGAAGGTTTCTGGCATAATGTACATTAATTACCAGATTAATACATTTCTAGCCACACAGATCAAATATTAATTCCATGAAAATAAAATGAAATTAAGGATCATTTACAATTAAAAATTCTACTACTATCGACAATACATATTACTACATGGTAACACTATTTCTTGGTAATGGTATTTCTTCTCTGAGGTATGAGCAAACTAAGAAAACTACCTTAAAATTAGAAGAAACAACTAAAGGTAAAATAAATTTGGAGACCCATATTCTAGATGTATGTTTGCTAGAACTATTGTTTTAAAAAAGAAGGAGTTTTATTATTGAAGACTCAGGCTGCATGTCATAGCACATTACTGTCCCAGGGGGCCACACAATAAAGCTAAAGATACAAAAAATACATGACATCTGGATGTTTACAAAATTTGTGGATTAAATTTTTACTGTCAAATTTATAACTGGCTTCTTTAAAAGTACTTATCCTCACAAAAATAAATTGAAACTGGAGAGATATTGAAGAAGTCAGTTTCTTTAAGCTCAGTACTGAAATGGGCAGCTTACGCCACATAGATAAGTTAAGAGCATAAAATTTAGGTGATTTTCCTACA